CATTGCAAGGGACCCAGCCTTGTTGAACCCCATACAACTGGCCTTGGCCCATCGATCCAGCCTGTCCAGGTCCCTCTGCAGAGCCTTCCTCCCCTCCAGCAGATCAACACTCCCACCCAGCTTGGTGTCATCTGCAAATTCGCTGAAGGCACACTCGATCCCCTCATCCAGATCATTGATAAAGATGTTAAACAGAACTGGCCCCAACACTGAGTCCTCGTATGCAGACCTGGATGTCCCTCTCAACATCCTCTCAACCCTCCCACCCCCAGGCAGGGGCGAGGGGAGGAGCAGACTGGTCCCATGCACCCCGGCCAGTCCCAGGGATGCTGGCCTGCACCCTTCACTCTCAGAGACATCTGGACTGGGGAGGACACTGAAATCCCTTCTAGCGCCTACTGCTCGCAGTGGGCATTACTGCCCTAAAGGCTTTTCAAGGCTGAGTGACATGGCCAAAATCCTACCTCACACTGAGGTTCAAGACAGTGCTGATTAGGCTCCTCCTGCTGCAGCCCAGTGTCTTTGCCCATAGGCTTCCTCCTTGTCCCATAAACATGCCATCCCCACTACATTCATCTCCCCAAACCCTCCAAAGACGGTGTGTACAGCTGCAGAAACACTGGAGCGACTGGCAGAGATGTGAACCCCAGGACTGCTGATCTGGGTCAACGTGATCTCTGTGCAGGGGGAACTCTGTCCCCCAGGCTTCGCTCAGCCCCTGCTAACCAAGCCCGCAACCACCACGGCTCTCCCTGCCACACCGGTGACACTTATGTCTAATACAGGCACAGTTTGTGGAGGACCTATTCTCCTTAATACAGCCTTAAAAATCTTCTGCAAAACCCAATCAGTCCACACACCTTCGATGAGTTAACATTGAAGGGATCAGCCCTGCCTCTTGGCCTGGGGACACCCAGCTGTGCCCCACGGGACCCAGCTCAAAGGGGCACTCGCTCCTGAGCAACTCAACCTTGGTTTAGCCCCCACCAGGGCCCTGGTCCCACAGCACAGTCTCACAGCAGAGCCTGTGGCAGCATCCGTTGGGAAGCGGGCTTGCACCCAAAGGAATGCTCCCCAGGGCACTTCCGCTGCTTGGATGTTTGCTCATCGCCTTGGCCTTCACACTGGGTAGCTTTTATTTCTCCCGAGCACGTGCTCAGGCTGAGGCGAGGCAGCACAGGCAGGGGACGGTGCCCTGAAGGGACACCAACAGGGCAAACAGGCAGAGCTGGGGGAAAATACATCTACTGGAAACAGCAGGAGCAGAATTATTTTACCAGTTAGTGCACGGATCAACCTGCTATTCAGTTTTATGACTGACCTGAAAAAAAAAAAA